TTCCTCTCGATTTCCCCCTTGATTTTTCTCTTCTTGCCTCGCCTATATACAGCCCCTTTCGAACAGCCCTTCTTTTCTCTCAATCGACAGCCGCTGTGCGCTATCCCTCTCTCGGTTGCTTCTGTACCGACAGCCCCTTGCGACCACTCGTACTCGCCCATGATCTCCTGCTCTCGCTGCCCACGATCTCCTGCTGCACGACCTCTCTCTCGCTTTCCTCTCGCTGTTGGTCGTGGGCAGCAACCTTGGGCTGCTGCTGTTTCTTCTTCTTTTCTTTTCTTTTACACGACTTGGGCTGCTTGTGTTTGGGCCTGATTTTGGGCTGTTTGATGCTAATGATAAAAACCAAAACGCAACAATCAATTTTCTCATTTTTTTTTCAACTTAAATGGTCACATAAGATTAAACATCATCTTAAATTAAAATGGATATTTTAAATATCTAAATGACATTAATCTCAAGGTAATTTGATGTAAAAATGTATAAAATTTGCACTTATTAGCTCCAGGACGTAAAAATAAGGGTCACTGACAATACTAAAAAGAAATCTTAGACAAATGTTTTTATCATCAAGAACAAAATTGGTTACAAGAAATACAAAATAGTTTCTTTAAGTATTTATGAACATAAACTGGTATCGGTTTTTTCTAAAATTATTTTCCTTACCTACAAGAGTGGTGTCTGATTGGTTTAAGCTTCGCTTCAAAGGTTAAAAGTACCAGGAGGTCTTAGGTTCAAATTCATGGAGGAATAAAAATCCCCTTGTGGCCACGGAGGTTCAAATGAGGTGATTCCGGGCCATCTGCAAAGCAGGTGGTCGCCTGGGATTAGTCGGTTCGCATAGCGGGTCGGATATCCAGGTTAATCAAAAAAAAAATCTTATGTGTTTATCTATCTTTTGAAGATCAACCTATTGTATGTTATATTTTAAAAATACATGTGATGGTACATGGATATTCTTTCGAAATTTTTCAATTGTAAATTCTGTATATAGAATCCTTAATACTAGTGGGACCTTGTGATGTAAGTTATATTTCTTTTGTATAAAATTCATGTTATATGTAAATGTAGGAGTATATGATGTTATAGAAGGTGGTATCATTTTCAATGCATAACATCATTAATCTATTACACGAGAAAGACATCCTGTTTTAGCGTCTAATATTTGCGCCAATCTTGATCGTCAAAGTAATACTTTATATGCAATAAATAAAGGGTCGTATTATTTGCACCTCTTCAATGGTTTAAATTACGTCGGTAATTAATGAAAGTGAATAATAACTTTTGTTCAAAACGATAATTAAAAAGTTTCATATCGATAAAAGTAGATAATATAAATGTAATTGACAACTGAACAGTAACCAGCTTCTTACACAGAACAATACGAAAGAAACAAATCTTCTGCTTTTAAATCTGGTTGTGATACTAAAAAGAAATATCAAAGGTATTATTTTTTTAATCTAGTCATGATATTTATTTATTTCTTCTTGCAAAAATCTAGTTACGAAAGTTATTATAATAATATAATATAAATTAATACGATATGATTTGAGTGAATTTTCACGAACTATATGATGTGCGTTTGTTCGATTTAGTCAATGCATAGCTTTGGTAATTTTTGATATGAGAATGGGTTTTTTTTCAAGTTCTTTATAAGTTTAAAACTTCTCATTAAAATTGCAGATGATCCACATAAATTTCCATGCCAATCCAACACGGTTGATTCGAAAGATGAAAAACTAAGGGTGGATTTAAATATTTATTTGAAACAAAAATACGTATATAAAATATCAATTAATTGAAATGTTAGTATTATAATTAATGTTAAAAATAAGTATAATTTTGTATTATTAAATAA